GTCTAGGGAATCTCTTGCTAGCAAAACACGTCTATCTACTAAGTTATACACCATCTGTTTCCAGGAAGTTCAGAAAGCAGCATCACACTTCTTGTGAAATCTGTTTTCCTTTCTCAAAGTCAGGCCATTAAAAATACAACTATATATATCTTATTAAGGGGGAAGTATTTGAAACCATAGAAAGGATATTTCCTTAGCATTGTCATCAGAAATAGCGACTGTGCTTCCCTTGTTGGCTTGTCTAAAGTAACCAATGCATTTTGCAAGCAAAAGAAGAAAGAGGAGGAGGATGTGGAGAAAGGTTACTTTGATATAAAGTTCACTTTTAAACTAATTTTGAGTTTAATTAAGCAAAAGTAATCACTATACTGAACCATATTTTAGAATGTGTTTATAAAACATCTCTTGAAGAGAATTCTCAGTGTTGACACTAAACTCCCATTTCCAGAACTTCCGGGACACTGCTATTGAACTTACAAGCTTTTAAATTCTGTAGATTGAACTGTTTTACTTTCTGTACTGTACAGTGCCTTGAGATTATTTAAAAGCCAGTACAAGGATGCTCGTAATAAAAGAATAAAAGTACTTATACTCCTGCTACCAATAATAATAACCAGGAAACTGGGGAAGATATGGTGCAAACTTCCCCCAAATTTTCTGCCATTAAATTATGCTCCAGATTTGACATCGGAGATAAGTTGGGATTCCTACTTCATGAACAAGCAAACCTTGATGCAGAGTCATATTAGTATACTTCAGGGGTGGGCAACAAAGAGACCACAGGTTGTATGTGCACTGCCACACCCCCTGGTATAGAACCTACAGCCTTCCACTTCTAAATCTTCAGTGGCAAAATGGTTGCAAATTTGCCTTGGAAAATCAGCTGCAATCCATGGCCAAGCCAACTTCACTTTCAATCACTTTGCTTTCTTTGTTGCACATCTCTTAATATCCTGCAGTGCCCTGTTAAGTAGGGGGCAAAACACATGCAGTTTGGGATTAAACTCTTCGGGAGACATGAAAAGAAAAAGAAAGAGGGGGAATATTCTTTTATCCTTATCTTCAGGCAAGTTGGTACTTCAGCCTGGAATTCAAGTACCTTTCTGAATCTCAAGATGAATACCATTTTCAACAAATTGGAACTTTTACCTAAAAACAAAAGGAAAGTTAAAATTATATGCTTATTGTACAGAGATACTCTGTCTGGAAAGTTCATCATGTTTATACACTAATGCATCTCAGATGTGAGTTTTAAATCAGATCAGCTGTTATAAATTACTTTCAAGCCAGTGATGCTCATTTAAATAGACTTTAGGTTATACAAATAAAGATTATGATATAATAGCAGCAATAATGGATCAAATAGCCCATCTTATCTGATATCCGTCCTTGATACTGCAGAATGCTAGATTTGAATGCCCAGACTTACTAGGCTTAGCACTACACACACTTGGCAAGGGTCAGTTCTTCAAGCTGGGACCTGAAGTGCAATAGGCAGAAGGTTTTCTGTTTCTGGAAAGGAAGCTATTTGATTTATGTGTCATGATGACCTGGTTTGCATGTTACGGAGGCAATTCTTGGATTATTTAATGAGCACTCCTGCACAATCATAATTTCCTCTTTCAATTAACAGGGCATGTATCTAGGTTACTTCAGGACATGCAACCCAGAACTCTGGGTGGTTTATTAGCTCTGCAATGCAGAATCAACCCAAGAATTATCCTAGTTTATTATCCGGCTGTTTATTAAAATTGTGGCTTGTGTGCTTCATTCCTCAATATAATTCTGAGTTAACCTAGGAATTGCCACCAACACATGGGAACCTGGTCAGAATATTTCATTGCAATGCTTCTAAAAAAATGTGCAGAACAGGTTTTTTTTTCATGCAAGTAAAAAAGCAAGAAAACTAGTCAAATCAGGAGAAACTATCACTTTATTTGACAAATCTAGTTAAGGAAATAATTTTCACAGTGACTCTTGCACTTGTAGCTCTCAAGCAACCTCTAAAACGTTTTTTGCTGCTGGTTGTAGGTTAGAATTTAGATAATGGTAAAAGAGCACTACTTGAAATTCAAAGTGAGGTGGTTACTGTTTGAAATGCAATGTGATGCTGATGCCAGGGGTGGCAGCAAGGGGTTCAGGAAGACAGCTGTATGCCATGTGACCTGCCCTGTCCCCCTAATCTAGACTGCTGCCTTCCTGCTTGGTGGAGGACACTGTCCCCTCATCAGTGTCAAAGAAGATTCAACTGTCTGTCCAGCTGACTTTTGTATATGGAATGGGAGAGGGGACCACTCTCTTCTTGATATCAGGGAGCCAAATGTCTTAGCTGGTCCTGATATGGCCTATTCCTGGTTAATGACTGGTGTGGCTAGCTGCTATTTGGTTACTAGCCTTTGTAAGAGTTAATGGCTGAAATGAAAAACTGAATGAAATCTATTTATTTTTGGACCTAAACAGGATTCTGGTCCTAAACAGAACCCTCAGAAATGAAGAGGTGAAAAATGCAATGAGAATGTTATGGAAAAAACAAGTAAAATTATGAACCTCTTATAAATATGGAAGGAATTTCCATCTGTTTTATAAATGGAATTAATGATTACAAATGATTCAGGAAAGGGTGCTCTTATGCATGCACTTGTATTTTGCAACTTGTTTCTACACAGGGCTCTGCAAAGTCTCAGGTAGCTCAGGAACTTTAGGCCACAAATTTTCCAGTGATTTTCCTCTGACTTCCTGATGGAGTTTTTAAACAGCCTGGTTTTTCTCCTAAGACAGCACTGGCACATGTACTACAGCAGGAAACTTTAGCACTCAATCACTATACCTTAAATATGACCACATTTAAACTAAGCTCAATAAAAATAAGTAATGTCCTGGTTCATTACAGGGCATTTTTTTAAAGAAAGATGTTTAGAAAAGGAATTTTTATGTGGGAGTTTATGTAATTGGCCTATTGTCCAAGTTCAGTTTCTTTTTTTATGTTACCACTTAGCAATTCCCTCACCAGTTCTAGAATTGTTTACACATCCACTGGTTTAATCAAGATTGTTTGCAAGGAAAAAGAATCAGAGAATAATCAGGGGCTTTAGCATACCACACACAAGGTCCAACTGAACTGTGATATGGGAAATCTGTGATCAAGATCTCCCCCTATTCTCCCTCTCAAGGTTTAACAACCCACACAAGTTCTTAAGACAGGGGAAATGTCATAGACACAACAGGTGTTTAACATTTTTTTCCTCCCACATTATCAAACATAGATGATCTCTGTTTTCCTTCACAGGCGTAATAGCAGCTTTGGGGGATGACCTAGATCTAAGGAAATGGCAACTTCAGATTGACTGTGCTAATTCCAACCTCCTTCTCGTATCTATTTGCACGCCTAGCAATCAATGCACCTCACAGGAAAGGGCTAATGGCTGCCATGCTGAACAGGCTTGATGACAAAAGTTCAGAAATTAATAAAGGCATACAGAAGAGAGTGACAACCAGCACAGCCACACATTTCCTTGATTTTCTTGGCATTTCCCAAGTGCCTATCCATTTTACATGACATTCCAAGCAGGATTTGTCAGGTAAATGTTAAGAGTCCAGCTGGGGAGAGAATGCCAATATTTCAGCTACTGCTACCATAAAGCTCCCTCTTATGTCTGTCCCAAAGGATATATTAATTGATATGTGCCTTAAGGCATCTGATTAATATTTCCTTAACTCATGGCATTTAACCTGTCTTTGTCTATCTATAGCCTTTGTCTGTCCATAAAGATTGTGACAAACTCTAACAAACCTTAAAACTGGTTTTGAGATAGATTTTGAAATTAGGGCAAAAAAGCACCTGAAACTGATTGACAGATAGAGATGGATTCACACAGTGACTTGACTACAGTGAAATGTCCTTTACTGGAGGCACTGGTGAATCTGAGCAGTGCACTTTTAGAGGCCAGTCAATCCATGTGGAACCAATAATCCTGCTACAGATTTGTAAACACATTTGCCTGGAGATTTGCCACGTTAATGTCAGTGAAGCATACTTTTTTGGACCTGTTGATACATGCATCCTAAGCATGAATCACTGACTGCAGCACCTAGTGATGACTAGCATGACTGAATGAACCATGAGAGATTAGTCATCAAGGGCAGCCTTCATATAGTTTGATGCCATCTCAAATACAACACTTTCCATCAGAGACAAATTCACACAACTTTCAAAAAGCCATCAAGAGACTGCTGAATAATTAAGTGATGAGAAAGGGCAAGCGATATAAATGCATGAGTGCAACACTGTCCTTTATGTGTTTAGGAATGCAGTATACTAGGTCTGAAGTAACCAGTCTTCCTCATGAGATGGGACTGCCATCTTTAAAGTGCAACTTTAAAGAAATGGATGGACAACTGGTGATGTCCCTCACAACCAGTGGGGATTCTTAAAACTCTTTCTGTGGTCAGGTTCCTACATGTATTACTATCTATGAATTGTGAGCACCAGAAACTTCATCAGCTGCATGAAGAGTCATTCACAAGGGCAGGATCTTGGAATTCTGGGTGCTTCTATTGCGTTCTTTAGTAATAATAGAAACTGTTCCAAAAAGGAACTCTTGTTCATTAAACTGAAATGACACAAACTTCCAAACCCTATTTTTAACAACATCCACAATAACAAGCACAACTTCTTAGATGGAGCAGAACAGTCCTGTTATCTGTCCTCCTTTGCTCTGATTATCCCATGCAGCTGCCTGGCTTACATAACCCTGCGGCAGAGTCAATTGTTCACAAGCTCTACTGGAAAGTAGTACTATCCTGCAGAACCCGGAAATAACACACAGATAAAGACAGATCATAGAAACAAAGAAACATAACGAGCCAGAAGGGGTCTCCCGGGCCACCTAGTCTGACCCCCGGCTCCAGCCAGCTCTGCTCACGACATGCCCACCATCACACTCGGTACAGTGCACTGTTGTCAGGAGATGAACGGTAAAGGCTGCTCTCAGGCATCTTACCTGTGAAAAGGTCATTGTCAGAGGCTGGCAAATCTGAATCCGTTTGTATTTCCATTTGTTTTTGTTCTTGCTTTTCCTGTTAGGATGCATCCCCACAAGGGTGAAAAGAAAAAATGTGGAGAAAAAAATATCGGATGAATTAACAAAAATGCCAAACAACAAGGAGAAAAATAATATAACTTGGAATCACAGCTAGAATATTAGAGAGGGAAGTTTGTACTTCCTAACCTACAGAAATTAATATAATTTATTTGCTTTTTTGAAATCAGTAGCTTTTAAGAATGTTTCCTGATTTATGAGAACACGTTCATAGACATTAAATATTTTTAAAGAAAAAAAACCTAACTAGAAATACTCATTCAACTCAAAAAAGTTTAGAAATGGTGTGTGTGTATCTGAAACATGTTTTATTTTTACATGGAAGGGTAAAACGTAACATTTACAATCCTCCCCAAATCCTTTTCTCTCGTTAGCTAGAGATTTATTTCAAGCTAATGAAAATTATATTTCTATGAGAGATCTCTCTCAGAACTAGATTGAGTGATGGAACCAGTGTGAAAAAAGAGAGCTATGAAAAAGCTAAGGAAAGAGAAGGTTTTGAGACTTTCATGTAATCAAAACAGCACTAAGACCTGATTTAATTGTCAATTATTTTTACTTTTTCTTTAAAAAATCACAATGCCAGTAAATAATGCAATAAAGTAATTGTATCATAACATGAGAAACCAAATGAAAAAAATGCTATTTGTATAACAATATCAATATAGACAGACAAACTAGACAGAAAATATTGTTGACAATTTTTCTGTTTGTCATCTTTTTGCCCTTCTTCACTCAGTTTAAATATCATGTGTGAACACTGCAATAAGCATAACATTTGAAATTCTCCAATACCAGTTAAATAAATTGGGATGGTTACTTATTTTCTAGTGATATGGAGTAGTAAGTTTTTACTTCAAGGCAGTAGAGGGAGAGTAATTCCAATCTGTAGTTGGCAGCTAATGTTAGTCCTACTTAGAATACACCTAGTGAAATGAGTTGTCCTTAGACTAATATCAGCTATAACCTTATGTGTTCTACAATGTTAATTCTATTTCATATAAGAGCTCATTTTGAATTATCTGATCTTTTGCATCCAGATATCTCATTCAGCTTCTGCAGGATTTTCCCCCCAATATTTGCTAAACAGATGGCATGTCCCAAAGATACACATTTCAGATCTATGCTTACTAAATGTTTTGGAATATTTTCAATATTTGTACTGGTTTTGTGCACACATCTTTGTATCTCTAGAAACACACTAATGTTGAGTAATGTTGAGCTAATATACAACTGAAACTTAGAAACCTACGATACCTTTATGTCCTCACATGGTGCCTACAGGCACCAATTATTTTTTTAAAATATGTGCATGAATTTCTATGAAATGAATACAACTTTCTAGCAATTATATATAGTCCTCAACGAAAGGAAGCCAAATCCAAATAAGTATTTATTTGAAGGTGGTATCTATATGCCAGCCATTCAAATGCTTTTAGGTCCTCAATCCACTGTGTTCATTATAGGTGTTTGTCTTTCCAATGTTGTAATATCAATCTTTTAGATAAGCCGAGAATTCATTTATGCTGACAATTTGTTAATTTACATGGAGTGGTTAAATAATTTTAAAGAGAATTTAAAAGACTTTTCAGTACGTTTTTCTCCTGTACAGTAACTTCCTATCCAAAAGAAGCAACTACAGTACAACCAAATATATTGCTGTGCTTTGGGGTTCAGTCTAGATTGCTTTTTAGCAATTCCTTGTATTTTTAGAGCCTGGGATCACAAAGTGATTCACAAGTCCCCCTTCCATCCTACTCTGAAGCTCTTGAAACCATCCTTTTTGTTTTAGATGAATTGGTTGCTCTTGTTCTACTAGATCTGAGGAGAAGCATGAAGCCAGACCTGGAAAATTTGAACAGAAGAGGAAGAAGAGAGCTAACTTGTGGTCTCTGAAATAAGAATCCCACAGCAGCTGAGACACAACTCTGTTGGCCTGGGAATCTGTGGAACCTTAACTTGATTAGAGCACAAATAAGCCTGTCAGGAAAGAAAGACCATAAGCCTCCAGTGCCCTTTGCTGGAAACTGAAGTCTGAGGAAGTGCTGGAGCCCCTGAAATTCCTCACATCTCTCAAGTGGGGTGCAGGAGAGAAAAAATCCATTTAAAAGAAGAAGCATTAGCTGCACTGCATCACCAGAAGTTAGCTGGATCAAATAACCCCTTCTTAAAGAGAGTTTGTAGTGACTAATATACAGGTTTTGTTGAATAAGACAGTCCAAGAGCCATAGATAAAACAGGTAGATGCCACAGCAGCACTCCACAGGTGAGGTATTTTGTGGTGGTGCCCACAACAGTTTCTCATATTTCCAAATACGTCTGTGGGTCCAAAATGGTTGGGGAGCCTGGTACAGTCACATTCTCATCTTGCTCAGAATCAAAATCTTGTTAGGTATCCTTATCAGAGTGTTTTGTTCCACATATAAACAAAGGAGTAGTGATGCATGTATCTTCTACGTATCTTCCTTTCAAGCATCTCCTACTGTGAAATTCATTAATGATCAGACCATGGACCATAAGAACATAAGAAAAGCCATGCTGGATCATACCAAAGTTCCTTTTAGTCCAGTACTTTGCACACATGGTGGCAAATCAACTCCCCCCAGGATCAAGCAGGATGGGTGCAAGACCCTTTCCTGCCCAAGCCCCTCAGCAACTGGTATATGCAGGCAGGCCACCTCTGATAAAGCAGGTAGCTTGTAGCCAGCAAGGCTAGTAGCCACTGATAGGCTCCTCCCTCATGAATCTGTCCGATCCCCTTTCAAAGCCAGCCAGATTGGTGGCCATCACCACTTTCCGCAGCAGTGAATTCCATAGTTTATCTGTATGCTGTGTGAAGAAGTACTTTCTTTTATCTGTCCCAAACCTCCCACGAGTCAGTGTTATGGGAGGAGAAAAATGTCTCCCTTTCTACTTTCTTCACACCATGCATTATTTTAAATGCCTCTATCAAGTCTCCCCTTACTCAGCTTTTTTCTAAGCTGAACAATCCCACTGCTCATAGGGGACCTGCTCCAGTCCCCTGATCATTTTTGTTGCCCTTCTCTATACTTTCTCCAACTCAATAATGTCCTTTTTCGGGTAAGGTGCCAGAACTGAACACGATATTCCAACTGTTGTCATACCAAAGATTTGTATAAGGGAAGTAAGATCTTGGCAGTTCTATTTTCTATTCTGTTTCTAATTATGCCCAGCATGGAGTTTACCTTCTTCACATTGGCTGGGTTTTTCTGTAGGGCTTGTCCCTCAATGTGCTTACTGATTCCATCTTTAATCATCCTTTCAAGCAGCTTACCCAGGACAGAAGTTAACTGGAACATAATGTCCTGAATCCCTTTTTAAAAATTGCTGTTGCATTGGCCATTCTCCAGTCCTTTGGTATAAGTGCTAAGTTTAGGGACATGTTAAATATTTCAGTAAGAAGGTCAGTAATTTCATGCTTGAGTTCTTTGATAACTCAAGGATGGATACCATCTGGACCAGGTGTCTTGCTGACTTTCAGTTTGTCAATAAAATTGCAAATTTCATCTTTTGTCACTACTCTCTGCCCTAATTCCACAGAAGAGGAACTTTGTGGGGATGAACCAAAATGGTCCCTGAATCCAGCTTCAGGAAGGTAGAAAAAATAATTCTGTGTGGAGAGGGTGCATTTGTGCACCACATAGAGGTTATGTAATGCAAAAGCAGGAAAGAAAACACTCCTTGTATATCGCCCAGAACTTGGTTCTGTGTGTACCTGAAAGTAGATTTTGCAGATTAAGAAAAAAAGAAGGGGGGGGGGAAGCTTTGCCCCTGTTTCAAACAGCAGCTTAGTTCTACACAGTAGCCTGCAGGGAAAATATCCCTGGAATGATGCTACTATGTGATAGAGTGATGTTCCTAAAAGCACTCTTGAGTGGGGAAAGATAGCTGCCCCCATGGTACAGGGAAGGAAAGAAGGCAGACCTTGGCCATTCAGTATTTAAGATATAACCATCCCTGGTAAAACTGATTCTAAGAATTTTCCCCACTTCCTCCAACATCCCCCCCAAACCCCCCTCTGTTTCCACAGGGAAATAAATGGTCCTGCAAAAGTGTAAAGGAGCACATATTTGGCACACCTTTATTATGAAATACTTAATTGATCTTCATTGTGTGGTCTTAACTCTCAACTCTTCTGTGGTTACTTTGTACAATATATGAAAGCAGCAAAAGCATATGGTGCTACTTCCCCGCTAACCCTCACACAGTACCTAGGAAGCGAAGATCAAGGAAGAAGTGCAACACATTTGCCTTTTCTGCTCTGACACTTCCACATAATGTGTGAATTGCCCTCCAACAAAATCACTGGAGAGAAAGCAGGAATTTGCAACAGTGGAATATTTGTCAGCTTGAGCAAAAGCTCTATAGTGCTGCAGTGCCTGCATCTCTAGCTACTTACTTTCCAGCAGTTTCAAGTCATCTGTAACTGCTCTGGGGAGAGGCAAAATTAATAACCCAGTTCTGGGAACCAAGAATTGGACTGAACACTGCTGTTTTTAGTTCAGATACATGGGAATACAAAAGAGGCCCATCTACCACGGCAGAAAGACAGGCACATCTTTTTATATTTAGCATTTTTCAAGCTTATTTCACATGTCATTCATTTCCTGCCTCCAGGGGGAAATGTGATGTCAATGGAAATCCTTTGTATAGTTGGAAAGAAGAGTATAACCAAAGACTTACAGATCGTTTCAAGAGGAGAATTTTAAAGGGACAGCTGGATTTAAAAAAAAAATAAATGGGAAATGTTTTCAAGAGATAGTGATATAATATGTATATAATCCCTCTGTTCACAAAATAGCTCCTGCAGGAAAGAGTCTGAAGCCCAGAGAAGCTACTATGAACTGAAGACCATTGCTAATCAAGGAAGACTTCTGGATGTGAAAGAGCATTCCACCCACTCTGGCACATTTCCAAGGAAAAAGGGATTTCCATCTAATTACATTTTCTTCTAGA